TCCGATTTTACTGCGCCACAAGTCACATGATACTGTGAACTCGGTTCACACTCTTTCTCCATGATTTTTGTATTACCCATAACTGTATTTGTTATAAAATAAAATTATCTAATACGTACATAAAACAAATCACCTTCGTTCAATCTGATAACGTATCATAGAAATTCCTTATGAGGCATAATTTGTTCGTAAATAGGTCACAAACACAAATGCACACATAACAGATTTGTATAGGGACAAAGCCCACATTACTATGCAATAATAAAAATTTTTAGCCACGTATATTTTTTTCTGTTAATACGTATAACGATGAAAGATCAGAATAAAAACAAACAAAATTATACCGAAAAGTGGCACATCTTTAGAGGCTGGAAGCACGGGTGTAAGGTTTGTGACGAATGCAAAATGGTAGTGGATGGAATATATAAGCGATGTGAATGTGATAATTCTCGAATAATTAATAACATTAAATACGTAAAAACACAGAAATAAATTGGAATTAACGATTTGGTAATGATGGTTTAAACATTATCATTATACATAATTTTGCACGTAACAAAGATACAAAGATATTCATTTAACATGTGTTACGTAGAATAATTCCGCATATGAAGTATTACCTTAGAAGGCTTATAAATTATGCATAATTTATTGTGGGACGAGGAACAAGCACCTGCTTATACTTCCTATGGAAGTTTTGCAACATACCCCGTAAAACAATGAAACAAGATGGAAGAACTTACTGATAATTATAGAAAAGAATAATATATTCCCAAGTTCGTGAGGTTGAATATTTTTTTACAAATTACCTACACGTATTTCTTTTAGCTCAATGTCAAAAAATATAGTGCACGAATATTTCAATCGCAAATACACTGAATGGGCTATTATAGGGTTCTTGGAAGAATGCAACATTAAATCATTCCGTGATAATATTGGTATTTATCTCACTTCTCTCGAAACCATCATTAAAACTGAAAATGGCAGAAGGCGCGAAAAAGCACAACAGTTATACAAACAGTATAAAGAGGCAAGTTTAAGAATCTTTTGATTAAGAATATAGATAAGGAATTGTGGCGTGGCAGGGACCTCTAAGCTCTTTGTCATTCAAGTCTCCAAGTCGAGCCATGAAGCCAGTGCTAGGGCACGGATAACCTCAAAGCTTATCTGATGTTCAAGCCTCTATGCCGACCTAGCACTGGTCCCACTTAAGCACAAATAACCTCTAAGCTTATCTGAAGTCTTGGGTGGGATAAGAAATTCGGATAAACAATGGAGATGTGTTGATTGGGGATATTACTAATTTTCCGGTTTTTCATTGCTAGGGTTCTCGACCCGATCGCACATTGGCACGGAAATGGGAGTCCGAACATGCACATAAACAAGTTCATTTCCATCAGCCGACTTTTTTGGACTATGGGTCTGTACATGGTTCTATACACGGGACTGTCAACGGGACTATAACTGGTGGATCATTCATTGTTGGATCAAAAAGAGAATATGAAGAGGTATATATGCGCATTTTTTTAGTTAGAAGTTGAGAATCAGTAAGAACTATAATATAAATATAAATATTTTAGGATGATTTTGAATATCGAATCGAGCCAAATCAAATAAAACGTACGAGATCGGAGCGCCAACGAACTCCTGAAGATCAGATACGTCCGTCTTTCTTTCCTTTAAGAGTTGAGGTATTTATTGTTATGTTAATTATCATGAAATTTTTTTAAGTTGACTTGATAATCTTTTTGATGTGCGTATAGCAACATGCAACAGCCACATTATTGAATCAAATTAATACCATACAGGAATTATGGGCACGACAACAATCACAAATTAAACCTCAAACAGTATTAGTCGATGTCGAGGAATCAGTTTTAGATGATGCCGAGGAATCGGTTTTAGAAGATAATTACTATTTCATTGATAAAGAGGTAATGTAGTTTTACTTCAATTGTGTATAACTATTTTATTTACTGCTATCCGATCTTCCAGGAAGTTAAGGGGTACGATTTTACTGAGCATGAGGTAAATTGTCCTTTCTTCCATTTCGCGTATAACAAATGCATTCATTGCTATCCAATCTTCCAGGAAATGAGGAATCTGAACTCCGAAAATGTGTCAATTCGGAATACTTTGCTTGAAATACTCTATCAATGCCGATCCAAAGATCTTGAATCAGGCAAGACGATTATGAATTCGATTTTTTTGAACGGAATAATAGATATGACAGATGCTGGTGTGAACGATCTAAGTTGAATAAAGAACAAAAATCATGGCTTGATCGAAAACTAGAAAAGCAAGCTTGGGATCAAACCACTGTGTTCAAGGATTATTGTAGTCAGTTCACAGAAGATAAATGCGATCGAGTCCAAATCCCCACTCTCGTGCGAAAGTCTTATATTGTGGGTCGGTTTGATCCCTTCCTTCATGAAGGACATGATATTGCGCAACGCATAATGACACATTTGTATATAGTATATACATACATATTCTTGTTTAGGTTATTGCTTATGTGAAGTTAATGATTCAATTATGAATAGTTCTGAACGTTTGGAAGCTCCAATAAACCCTGAGTCAAATGCATCAAGCCTTGAAAGAACATATTCAATTGATACAACCATATATATCATGAACAGACTCTTCAGAATGCACCAAGATGTGCTGGATTGGAATTGGTAGGTGTCGATTATGAATTTCCAATAGTATATTACATTTTAATTTTTTTTATTCGATTTAGGATGGAAATACTCACTACAGTTACAAAGAACCGGAAGATAGACGGTGTTTTGAAAGTTCTCAAGATAAAAAAAGAAAACCATCGGATAATAGGAATTGCCGAATTCTCGAGAGGTATAAAATCCCCCGATACCAAAGATGTTGATGATAAGGTAAAGCTTGGCCGTAATGCCATGCGAATCTTAAACAAACTACTCGATACTGTTCCGTGTGATAAGGCGCGTGTGTACACAATTCAATGCGTGAGTGAGTATCACAACATGTAAAAAGCTCTTGGTTATATATTTTTTACATAATTTTTTTTGAAGATGGAGAAATTCGCATATGATACATGGTACGACCACTTCCATCGATATATCTTGATAATGAATTTGCGTGTATCAAACTTCCGAACAGTTTTGATGATATGGATCAATTTGCTATGGATATGGCAATTCTCATGAACTTCCAGGTAATAAATCTATGATGATCACTCACAAAGCTTCTAATAGGATACTGATAATACTTGATTTGTTATTACAGAAAGATGTCTTAAAGGCAGTCAAGTCGATTAAAAAATCAAATGGAGATAAAAATGTACATAAATCTGAAGTCAAAACCACACCGGAGAGTGCAAAGAAAAAAAGGAATAATAAAAAAGATAGCCGAAACGATTTATGTAGCTTGTCTATTGAAACGTCTTCACAACAACAGGACACATGATTTGATATTCATATTAGTCTAATTATGATCAGAGAGCAATATATAAGTGAAAAATAAAGTATAACCACCTCAAAATTAATGTCTATACCGTCCTGAAAAATAATAATTTGCCTTTCGTGCTTTATATTTAACATGTGTCTGCATGTATGCGGTGTAAAGTATTTGTATCAAAAAAATAAAAGTATGAGATCGAATTTCGCATACATAGTCGCATTTTTCTTTGTATATGTATTTATAGAGTTTATTCGTTGTATGGGTTCCAACTTTGTGTACTACATATGTTCAAGAATTTTTTTTCTTGGCGACGCCCGTCCCACGTGCGTATTAATCATATGATTTTATCGATTTAGCATACATTATGATTGATGTTTATATTATATTTGAGAATTTTTAAAAAATATTTCTTGGTAAAAGTGATCGGCGTGACAAATTGTCACGCGTACATATTTTTTTTATTTGAAATTAAAAGCATTAACTATCAAGAAAAAATATTTTTCCAAACATTTCTAATAAAGTTATATAAATTAATATCGAACATGAAAGATCAAAGTGACAAGTCTAAAGACCTATCCGAATTAGATTTATTGAGACGACGAATTATTGATCTTGAGGCTGAAAATGCCAAAATTGAGGTTGAAAACAGGAGGCTGAAGCAGATCATTGAAGAGAATTCTAGACGTGATGCTGAGTTTAAAAGCCAAATTGAGGAGTTAGAGAAAAGTAAAGCAGATATTGCTTCTAAGAATGCTGAACTTAAAACTGAAGTAGCAAAATTAAGATGTGATTTTGAGGAAATCAAATCAAAGAGAATAACCACCGATTCTTCAGAGCAGTTACCAATTTCCTTGTCAGCAAAGAATGAGACAATAAGCGTTTTTACTAAAATAGAAAATTCTAATAATACTTATAAGGAGTCTAACACATCTAATTCTGATATATACCAGAATTCAGTAACCCCCATATCTCCCGCAGAAACCATATCATTGGAAGAGAAGAAAAAAATGAATTCCTGGATTCAAAGCATAAAGAAACGGTTAGTAAAAAGATAATTCAGTGCATTAAGGAGAAGAAACTTCGAGATCAAGCCCTATCTTTGGTTAACCATAAGAAAAAGGGAACAGATAAACTCCAGCAAGAATTGTTCAATACTTCTTTAGAGCCGAGTTTACAAGATCACTCTATATCAAAAAATATTAAACCAGGACAGATTGAAATTTTCAAGATAACCCGTCCCGAAAAATTTGAGAGCATGGATGGTTCTGCGAAGTGTATTGTTAATTCATTCGACATTAATGAGGTATTGCAACATTTAGCTCAGCTGTGTGATACAGCCATAGGCGCAAAAGATCGAGCTTTGAAGGCTTATCAGGAAGAAATCATTAGCTGGTCTCTTTATGGTAGGAATTTTGAATTTCAAGTTGATGAGATGAATAGTAAAAATAAAATTGGTGAGAAAAAAGCAAGAACCTTAATTTATAATGAAATTGAAAATCAACTCTCTATTCTTCGTAAAAAATGATCACAAGATTTGGGCTTACAACTTCTAAATATATTACAAGATACCTTGCGCAAAAAAACTCAAAGAGCTGTAAAAATTTATAAGTTATTCGAAAAGATAGGTCTAGATAAAATTAAACATATTAAGAACTATAGTGCAAATTCTATCTCGGAACTTACTAACGACCAAATTCAAGAGATTATTAATCATAGCTCAGAGAGCCGAATATCTAATTCTCCTTCGCTTGAAATTACACCTGAAGTAACTTCTGAAGATAATATAATTGAAATTTCCGGGACGGCCTGTCTCGAAAAGGTTTTATTGGAAACCGAGATAAATGCATCTACTGAAGAAACATCTATTTCTGCTAATTCAGAAACTGAGGTAAGTACACCGCCTATATCCAAAGAAAATATATCAAATAAACCCCGACCTCCAATCTCTATTTTACCTGGTGATCCCGAAAAAAAGCAAGCTCATGTTATTAAAATGGTATTGGAGCGATTCTCTTATTTAACTTTGAAATATAGTAACGAATATAGTGACTATTTTAATTGTCCAAAAATCTGTCTCATATGTAATAAAGAGCATAAAAGAGATAATGTAAAAGGTGAGTGGGGGAGTGGCGATTATGTCAATACAAAAACTTATCGTCTTACATGTTGGGGAATAAATATCAGAATTCAATCCAAATAGTAACCATAAAGGCATAGGTTAATAAGGTAACTGGGTGTGGACTCTATTATTTCCACTAATTAATAATCGCAAATTGCATTGCAGGCCCGAAGGGGTGACCCTAAAGGGTCAAAATCACGTAAAAATAAAAAATGGCAAGCCCATGAGGCCCCCTCTTTATTTCATAAAAAAAATGTTGCCGGGACAACAATACAAATAAAAAAAAATGTTGTCAGGACAATAATACAAATAAAAAAAATTCTGATCACGGTAGTGGCTCTACGAGTACATGAATAATATTTTGTTCGGGATTCCCAGGAAAATGGTCATAGATCCTACCATTTTGATGCATATTTCTATAATTACCAGTTTGCTATCATAACTACGAAGCCGATAACGAAAATTTGTCGATCTGAGTGGTAAAAGAGATAAGCTAGCTTGAACTTGGTCTATTAATTTATTAACACCATTTCTATTAAAAATCTTAATTTTAAAAAAATAATATGGCAAGCCCATAAATATATGTTCACGTAAGATAATACAATTAATTGATAATCCTTCAGTCAACTGAAGAATGATCATAGTAAAATGTGACTCAGATTACTATATAAATTTACTATAGTGCGAATAT